TCTTGTCTAGTTTTGGTATTAGGATGATGCTGGCCTCACAGAATGAGTTAGGAAGAATTCGTTCTGCTTCTATCTTCTATCTTCTGGAAGAAATTGTAGATAAGTTGTGTGTTTTCTTCCTTAAAATTCAATAGTAGAATTCACCACTGAACCTATCCGGGCCTGTTTTTCTGATGTGGAAGTTTGTTAATTGTTGGTTGAGTTGAATATCTGTCTCAGATTTCTGGTTCTCCTCGCTTGAGTTTTGGCAGGTGATCTTTCAAGGAGGGCTGCGTGCAGGTTGGCCGGTTGCAGGCGCAGGCGAGTTCGCAAGGCTGTGAGACCCTTTTACTGTAGTGGGGTCTCAGCGTTGAGCCGCCTTTCACGTCTGGTGTTAGTAGTCTGACTTTTCCACCTTCTTATCTAGCCTGACTAAAGCTGTCACTTTATTAGTCTTTTCAAAGAGTTGTCTGGTTTTGTTGATTTTCTCTCCTGAGCTCCTGATTTTCTTTCTTTTCTTTTGTGAGAAAAAAGAAATCTGGATTTCCACAGATCAATCTGGGACTGAAATTTGCCTTTTCCAGTTTCCTGAGGTGGAAGCTTAGACTATTGATTCCGATCTTTTTCTTTCTAACAGCCATTCGATGCTATGTGTTTTCCTCTAAGCACTGCTTTTGCTGAATCACAGAAATTTTGATAAGGTGTATTTCCATTTTCATTTGGGTCAAAATATGTTAAAAGTCCTCTTGAAATTCCTTCTTTGACCAGGGTGTTATCTAGATGTGTGCTGTTTAATGTGAGCAGGGATTTCTGTTACAAATCCCTCAGTTCCATCGCTGAGAGCAGTGAGGACTTCCAGCTTTTAAACTTGCTGGGGACGCTCTGTGCGTTGTCTCCTGGGGAGCCGAGCTTGGGAAGAGATGGGCCAAGTGCAAATCCGGTGCCGTGCAGATGGATTTTCACCTCACGTGTCCTGTGAGTTTTCAAGTGCATGCACACTAAATATGGTCAGTTCCTGACAAACTGACTGCTTTGTCACCTGTAATGCTGCACTTGTCCCTGATCATTTTCCTTGCTCTGAAGCCTGTCTAAAATTGACAGCTCCTCAAGCTTTCTTCTGATCAGAAGAAACATGGCAGTATCTTTCTCCACCCTTCACTCTTAATCTCTACGTCTTTATCCCTAAGTGGATGTCTTGTAGACAACACATAATTTGGTTTTATTTTTTGGCCCACCCTGACATCCTGTCTCTTGAGTGGTGTGCTCAGGTCACTGATGCTTAGGGTGATGTGGGCGCAGCTGGGTTGATGCTCCCATTTTGTTACTGTTTTCTGTTTATTTTCCTAGTTCTTCGTCCTCTTACTCTGCCACTGTGGCTTTCATCAAGCTTTCTATGTGATTCCATTTCTCCCCTTCCCTACTGTATCTTTGCTCTGTTTCCTCCTCCTCCTTCCTCTTCCCTTTCTGGTGACTGCCCTAGAGTTTGCAATGTACTCTTACAACTCAGCAGGACCACTTTTGAAGAAGGCTGCTGCCTCATAGGCTGTTCAGGTGCATCACTGATTCCTCTTCTCTCCTTGAGCCCCGCTGCTACTCCTCTCAACGACGCGGCTTGCAGACCAAGAACAAACATGAAATGAAGATTTTTGTTTTACCAAGTTTTTGATCTTTGTAATTTCCCTTCTGTCTGAAGAAAGTTTTGTTTGCCTAAGAGGGTTTATTTCACCCTCACTTTTAAAGGATAAATTTGAAAGCTACAATGAGTTCTAGGCTGTTTTGTTAATGTGCCTTTTGTCTTCTGAGATGGTCTCACTCTGTAGCAGCTGGGCCAGCCTTGGACTCATCCTTCTGCCTCAGCCTCCTGAGTGCTGGGGTACCAGGCATGGCTGCCACACCAGCTTCCATTCTCTTCCTGCCTGCATCCTGCACAGTTTCTGAGAAGTTGGATGTGATTCCCATCTTTGTTCCTCTGCTAGGTAAGGTGCTTCTTCCCCTCTGGCTTCTTTTAAGATTTTTGCAGTTTGAATGTGAGATGCCTAGTGTACGTCTAAATTTATTATTTATTTTTGTATTTATTCTGCTGTGTTCTCTGGACCTGTGTTTGTGTCTGACAGTAATTTGGGGTGGTTCTAAGTCACTTCTTTCCCATTTCTTTCTCTTCCCACCACACTGAAGTCACACCTTTGGTAGTTGTCAGTTCTTGGACTCTGTTCTCGCTCATCTTCTCAGTTTTGGAAGTGTCTGCTTGCATTTCTTGGGTCTAGGTGACTAAGGAGTCCCTCAGAGCCTTCTCCACTTCTGTTCGGGGTTTTGATTCCTGGCACTTCTCTTCATCCTCTGCCTCCGTCGATCTGTTGTCTGTTAATAGCCACAGTGGTTTTAAATTTCCAATCTGACAATTCCAGATTCCCTGATATACCTGCTCTTGTTCCTGTGCTAGCTCCATCTCTTCTAGCTCTGCCTTCTACATCTCAGCGTGTCCTGCTGTCTTTTGCTGAAGTGTAGCTGGGCAGAAGGACCTGCAGTAACTAGGCCTTTGGAGCTGTGGTGAGGGTGTGGTGTGGGAAAGGAAAGGGTTCTGCAGTGGTGGGATTAGCCAGGCCACAGCAGCACACACCTGTGGTCCCAGCGACTTGGTAGGCTGGGGGATTGCCTGAGCCCAGGAGTTTGAAACCAGCTTGAGCAACAAAATCAGACCCTGTCTCCAAAACAAAACATGAAACACAAAGCAAAACACAGTGCTCAGATAAGGTCTCAGTCTCTTAGTGAGCCATGCCCTGGGCTGTATGGGCTCAGATTTTCCTCTCTTAGGTGGGACAGGACAGCTGAGGGACCTGGACTGGGAATTTCCCTTCATTCAGGTTGGTTGGACTCTTAATTAAATCTCCATTGGTCAGGCTCTAGCAAAGTCGTTTCTCTTGAGGGTAGGCCTTGCTAGAACAACAACAACAACAAAACAGAGTGGAGCCAGGCACCAAGTGGCTTATGCCTGTAATTCTAGCTACTCAGGAGGCAGAAATTGGGAGGATGATGGTTTGAATCTTGCCAAGGTAAAAAGTTTGAGAGACCCCATCTCAACCAATAAACAGCTGGACATGGTGGCATGCATCTGTCATCCAGCTGTGTGGGAAGTATAAATTGGACAGCCTGGGCATAAATGGAAGACCTTGTTCAAAAATAACTAAAGCACAAGGGATGGTGGCATGGCTAAGTGGTACAAGGTCTGCCTAGCCCCAAGTTTAATTCAAACCCAGTGGAGATTAAAAAAAAGAAGAGAGGCCATGGTTTCCCGGTGGGGTCCTGGCCTTGTGTGAAGAGGCCCTGGGATCAATTCTCCACACCACAAAAACCAAAACCAAAGCCCAGATATGCATTTCATACCGGCCACATTTCTTCTCCCTCTTCTGGAGGCACAAGCTTTTTCTTCCTTTTCCCTGTGAGGATCTAGCAGAGCTCCTGGAGGCAGGCTCACTGACATGTGGGGTCCCCTGGGGTCCCCTGAGTTTTTACCTACACACTTGTGCACACTGAGTTCTGGCATGCGTGTCAATGCCCACAGCTGAGCATGAGCAGGGTGCAGAGGCGGCCCTCACTGAGCAGGACCCAGGGAGGGGACTCAGGTGGCACAGATACAGGAGCAGGCCCGGGGGGCTTAGACTGAGCTGAGAGGAGTCCTGGGGCCCTTTCCAAATAGGTCTGTTCCACCTGGACCAGAGGTGGCCCTCTGGGCCAGCCACAGAGGAGCACTGAAAACAGGAGCTTTGCCTGGTTCCCAGAAACCCTGGTGATGTCCAGGGCTGAGGTCTGAGGCCAGAGCCCAGCATATTATCTTCCGGCCCCTCCCTCCCCTTTCTTCCTTGTTGTCCCTACCTTGGAATGGGAATGCGTCTGCTCCCAGGCCTCCCCTGTGGCTGCCCTTTGACCCCTCAGTCACTTGTGGCTCTGGCTTAGACCCTGTTGGCCCTCTTGTGTACACAGCTCTGTGTTGCCTCTTCATTCCCTGCCTCCCATCTAACTCAACATGGCAATTTAGCTCCCCATTGTCTGTGCCAACTCTCAGATCTCTGTCTGCCAGCAAGACCCCATGAGCTGCCCCACCTGGCTCTCTCCAGCTGGCTCAGACAGACCTTCTCCTTCCTGCTGACCCACTGTGTACCCTGTCCTCGATCATGCACCTTGCCCTCTGTGGTGCACTCTGTTCTCTGTGGTGCACCTGCATCCTGTCCTGTGCAGTTCAGACAGACCCCCTTGGTTGGCCTCTCGTACTTCTTTCTTGTTTTAGTGCTGATTTCACCATGCTGTACTATAAGTCAGCATGTCCTTCTTTCCTCTGTGATTTCTAAACTGGGGAGACTGGGTGTCTTGTCTTAATCTTGCTGCAATCCTGTAAGAATGTGAGATGGAAGGAGGACTCCAGGTACTGTATGGGGGCCCCGCCAACACCACACTCCTGTTCTTGCTGTTACCACAAATCAGACACCCTTCTCCTCTCTTTGCTCATCCAAATCCTAACTCTTCTAAAGTGTGTTCAAAGCCAGCTTCTACAGGAAGCCTAGAAACCAGGCCCTCCCTGAACTTTCCTGGCCTTTCCTAGTCTTTAACACTTTCTGGGTGTGGAGAGATCCCCAGTGGACCAGATGTGTCCTCCAGGTTGGGCTCAGGCTCCCGTGCAGCCTGCAGGCTGGTGGAAGAGGACAGTGCTGGGGGTGGGGGAGAAATCCTGGGGCCTTATAGAAGACATTCTAAGCTGCACAGGGCCAGGCAAGGGAGTCAGCATCAGGTGTGGCCTCATCTAGCAACACTGGGGCTTCATCGTAGGGTCTGATGGTAGGAATGCAAGGGGAATGTAGGAGGAACCCAAGGAAGGGGTGGCTGCCAGTCTTCGAAGGAAGTCAGGGCCTCCAGAATTCTGAGGATGCGACGGTGGTCAGACCATCTGTGGAGGGTGTTCTGAAGGTGGAGGTCAGGCTGGCCATGGGGGGCAGTGCGATAGTGGTCTGAATGATCAGGAGGCTGGTCCCATAGAATCAGGCTGCCCGATCCTGCTGAGGACCTCAGCAGGAGACGAGGAGGGGGTTGGTGAGTGCAGGACCCGCAGCTGCTGAGGGCTGTCTCTGAAGGAGCTCGCAGCCGGCCAAGGCTTGGTACAGGGCATCCAGGATGGCCAAGGGACCAGATCTGGCTTCTGGAGAGAAAGGGTAGCAGGAAGCAGCATTAGTCTGCTTCAGCCCCACAGGGCTCCCTTCCTCCTCCCTGGGGCTGCCACCACCATGCTGGTACCACTCCCAGCCCTGTCCAGCTATCTCCCTCTCCCTGGTGTCCCTCCTCCACTGAGGACTCTTTGAGAGGAGGCTTCTAGCACATGCTTCCTTCTCCTCCTGGATGTCAGGGACCATTCAGGTCCCCAGAAAGGGCCAGCAAGCAAAGGCTCACACCATTGTCTCCCCATCAGCCTGCAATGCCTCAGGCAGGGTGTGGCTGGCCCTGGTGAGATCTGGTGCCCTGACCTTTGTCCAAGCAGCAGGATCTGTGGCTTAGTGCTTCTGGGAAAGAACCCAGGCCTTAGGTGTGGCCAGCACCTGACCCTCTGTGCTCGTCTCTTCATCTGTGGAGTGGGGACATAACTCCCTCCTTACTTGGCAGCTAGAAGGATGTGGGGGGAACTGAGACACCTCCCCGGAATTTGGCCCACAGTAAGCCCAGTGAGCACGCCAGCCCTGAACAGTCCCCTTGCTGGATGTGACCATTGTGGCTTCTGTCTGTGTGTCTGCCTGGGGCTTCTGCATCTCTGCTCTTGGTAAACAGCTTTCTTCCCTTTCTGAAGTCTGCCCTAGACTTTACCCCTTGCAGTGTTCAGGCAGGAACAATGTCACCATTTTGCAGACAAGACACTCAGGGCAGTGCTGGAGTTTCCTGGTCAGGATTCCCCCAGCAGCTGTCTAGGCTCTGTGGGATGGGGCACTCTCCTACCCTGTGTGGGGTCCCTGCAAGTGTCCAGCGTGCACAGCAAGATCTTTCCCAGGGTTCTCTTTGATATGTTCTTCAAAAGAAATGGAGAGAGGGCTGGATCAGTGACTTCTGTGGAGCTCCCTGGGCTCAATAAAGTGACTGCATCATCCCTTCCTGACCTCCATCACCTCTTCCTGCTCCATCACCCCTTCCTCCCCCATCACCCCTTCCTCCCCCCATCATCCTTCCTCCCCCATCATCCCTTCCTGTCTCCCATCACCCCTTCCTGATCTCCATCACCTCTTCCTCTCCCATCACCCCTTCCTCCCCCAGCACCCCTTCCTGCTCCATCACCCCTTTCTTCCCCATCACCCCTTCCTCTCCCATCACCCCTTCCTGATCCATCACCCCTTCCTGCCTTCCATCACCCCTTCCTGTCTCCCATCACCCCTTCCTCCCCATCACTCCTTCCTCCTCCATCACCCCTTCCTGCTCCATCATCCCTTCCTCCCCATCACCTCTTCCTGCCCTCAGGCTGTGCACACTGGCATCTCAGAGACTTTTGGGGGGTGATGGAGCAGTGTGCAGGCTCTATCCCACCAAAGACCATGTATTTAAGGATTGCCTTGATGTGGGACATAAGCACTTGGGAAATAACCATGACTAAGAAGTGCTTTTATGCATCATTCATTTGAACCATTTTAACCAATAATAAAAAGCAATGTTAAAAAAAAAATAAAAGAGCCAGGCATGGTGGGGCACGTCTGTAATCCCAGCACTTGGAGATTGAGGCAGGATGGTTACATAGTGAGACACTGTCTCAAAAAACAAATAAAAAAATGAAAAGAGAGAGAGAGAGAGAGAAATTTGCCCAAAGCCACCCAGTTGGAGGTGGCCCAGTATTTTGCTGGGCTGCATGGCCCAGGCCTGTGCTGGGAATGCCGCACCTCAGGACCCATCTGCAGCTCTCTGCTTGCCCAGGTTGGGTGACACTGGGTGACGTCAGCTGCCCTGTGTCCCCAGCAGCCTGAGGCACAGCAAAGATCCTGCTCAGGATTTGGATCCTGTGTCCGCCTCATGCTGGCTGTACAGTCCTGGCTCAGTGGCCTTTTGTGCCTGTCGAGGTGGTGCCCAGTTTCTTCCTTCACTCTGCAGCACGGCAGATCATGGTGATGCATTACTGGAAATGGATCACCCATGATCCTAGGGGAATGGACTTGGTTACGTTGCATTTCTTTGAAAAGCGTGGATGTGGTCTGCTACATTTCTCTTTAGTGATTTTGCTGCTGTAAGCAGCTTACAACTCATTTGTCCTCCTCTGACCTTTAGGTCACAGTAACCCCAGCATCCTAACACGACCTGGGAACTCCCTCTTTTCTGCTGGCCTCTCCGAGCCTCCATCAGTCAAATAGATGGCACCTGCAAGCCTCCTACCCCCAACTCCGGGGCTGCCTACCAAGTCTCGGAGCCTCTGCAGGAGCTGCAGCACGTCCACCACCTTCTCCTCCAGCAGCGACAGCCGTACCCGCTCTGTCTCTACCATCTGCAGCTCCAGCCGCAGGTGCTCGCTCTCCACCACCTTCTGCTGCAGCTCTGCCTGCGGGAAGGCAGGAGGTGGGAGGGAAAGGGTCTCAGTGTAAGGACTAACGCTTTCACAGAGCTCATCTTCCTGGCCTACCCCAGCTTGCCCGGTAGCCAGGCAAGTAAACCATGCTCTATCTCAGGGTGGTGCTGAGGCCCAGAGAAGCTGAGTACCTGGCCCCAAATTGCACGGTGAGCAGGACTGATGTAGAGTATGGGTTTTTCTTTCCTATTCTAAGGGCTCTGTTCTCCCTCCTCTTCTCTAAGCCTTTGATTTGTTTCTGTGCGCTGGGGTTTGAACTCAGGGCTCTGGTTTGTTTTTTAATAAGTTTGGTTGATGGCAAGTAGTAGAAACCCACCTGGCTAGCTTAAACAGACAAAGAAGGTACGTAGGCTACTGAGCCTGTAAAACAGGCAGAATACACGCGTGTGCTATACGTGTGCAGTGAGTGTGTACTGGTGGTGAAGAGCCACGAATCCACCAGAATGCCAGTGGAGCGTCCCATGGCCGTCTTCTTCTAATGCAGGCATGCAGCCGGCCTGCATCTGGTGAGCAGCCCTTGGCACAAAGACAGGAGAAGGAGGCAGCTGCCTTGGTGTGCTGTGGCTTTGGGCAGGAGGACACAGGTCCTGTGCCTTGGTCCCTCATAGTGAGGACTTGGCTCATTTTCAATACTGTAGTCTTGAAATTTACTCAGAAAAGAGGCAATGGCTGTGACTGACAGTTTACCTCCAGGTGGCCTCCAGCCCTGCACATCACTGATCAGCACCCTTTCCCAGCACAGGGGCTGTGGCTTTCCTGAAGGACATCTGGCCAGCAAGACCAAGGCCTCAGGGAAGGCTGAGCCATGGTGGTGAGAATATGGATGAAAACCCTGACATATGAGATCACCTGACACAAGAATGCTAGAGAATGTCTTTCCAGATGGTGGGGACTGTGGCCTTTCACCACCAGTGCACACCCACTGCATATGTGTGTACTCATACTTATATTCTGCCTGTTTTATAGATAAATAAGCTGAGGTGCAGAAACATCAAGTAACCTTCTCAAGGTCACACAGGCCTAGAGTCAGGACTGAGGGCAGTGCCATGCTGGTTAGCACTGGCTCCTGCTCTGGTGAGTTGAGTTTCATCTGAATTAAGTTCTGTTCAATAGCAATCCTGGGAAGCCACTGTTTAGGACTGAGCTCCTGGCCTGGGCCCCCACAGAGCAGGCTAAAGATCAGAATGGAGCCCCTCAGCCTAGAGCACATCACTAAGCTGAAACTTTCTGAGAAATCAGGAGAGGCCAGTTGCTCCCTCTGCCATAATCCTTACAAGAAGATGTGACAAAGTAAACCAGTTCTATTTCTATTATCCCATCTTCCTCTGTGCACCTCACAGGGACAGTGGCTTAGAAGTGAACAACTGCTCTCTGTGTCTGCTGTCTTCAGTCTTTTCTATCTACAAAACTAACATCCTTGGCTCAGCTCATTGGAACATACTGTTAGATGGAGTGAGGTGTTGCCTGATTCTAGAATCACAAACGAAGCTAATTATAATCTTAAAACTAACTTGTTATGATTTTGTCCTTTGACAACTCTTAGATTTTTCAGGCTTATTATAGGGGAGGTGCCCCCCAACCCTGTGCACCACCCCTCCCCCTGAAGGCAGAGGTTCCAGAATCACAGGTGGTACAGACTCTGTCTCATTGGAAGGCTTAGAAGCAGCCACACTGGCTCCCCATTAATGACATTCAGCTTTTTCCCTTCCTTCCTTTCTTCCTTTTGAGACAGGGCTTTGCTATGTTGCCCAGGCTGCCCTTGAACTCCTGGGCTCAAGCCATCCTCCTGCCTCAGCCTCCGCAGTAGTTGGGACTACAGGCGTGTACCACAAGTGGCTGACATTCATCATTTCCTTTTGCAAACATCAAAGTGTCCAGTTCACCTCAGTACTTAGGCCTGCTTTCTTCTGTCTGGTCTCTGATTTCACACTCTAACGGTGTCACCTAAACAGGACCCAGTGCTCTCTTTTTCCAGAGGATGGAGCAGAGTAGCTGCTGTGGTTTAATGGGCACACTGATGTGGCTGAGGGCACAGTTTCTGAGCAATGATTTCCTTCAAACCATTCCTTACCTATCTCATTGTGCTCCTTGACCGTAAAATGACTTTTTCCCTCCCTTCCTTCATTTTTTTCCCTTTTTTTTGGCAGTACTGGGGTTTGAACTCAGAGCCTTGCACTTGCTAGGTAGTGCTCTACCACTTGAGGCACTCTGCCAGCCCTGTTTTTGATGGATATTTTTGAGATAGGGTCTCACGAACTGTTTCCCTGGGCTGGCTTCAAACCATAATCCTCCTGATCTCTGCCTCCCGAGTAGCTAGGGTTACAGGAGTGAGTGGTTGGTGCCTGACCCACTTTTATTTTTTTGTGCTGGGGATGGAAGCCAGGCATCCTGTGCTAGGCAACACTACCACTGAGCCCCTGCCCTTGATCTTAAACGAGAGAGGGCATGTCAGCGCCCAGAACAGCTTATGTGCTGTGTGTGGAAGGTGGCATCATTTCTAAGTTATTATTTACAAAGCTAGAACAGTATCCAACCATACATCTTTAACAGCACATTTAGAATTTCAGAGATGTAAGTGTAAAATGATCCTATATCAAAACCAGTAGGCAAAAGTGCAGTGGGTCAGTGGAAGGACAGCTGTCAGTGGCATTGTTTAGCCACTAGGGACATGAAAAGTTGCTACAGGCCTGACAGACAAAATGACAAGTGCTAAGAGGTCTTATTGAAATTAGAGGTTACTGGGTATTCAGCATCCCTCCTGCTGCTTCTTGCTACATCACTTCCTCTGACTGTGGGCAGTCAATCACAGAACCTGCCTTCATACCACCAGTATTGCCTGAGGCTGAGACTCATTTTCCCCCTGGGGTTTCTCATTGGTCTGCAGAGACTAGAGACGTCAGTCTCCCCTTCCCTCACCCCTCTGAAGCCAGGGAACGTGAGGCCAGAAACCAGAGAAATTCACAACAGATTGTAGGACTATGTCAAAATCCCTGGACCCAGCTGTTCCTGAGGCTCGTGCCACCTTGTTCTCAGCCCCATGTTCTCATAAGTTCCTGCTTTGCATCTGAGCTAATCTGAGATGGGACCCTGTAACCTGCAACCCAGAGAGTTCCCATTGCATCTGAGTCAAAGGAAATCACATCTGAGTGCCAATGTGTGCATCTGTGAATGGAGTCCAGGACCTCAGGTCCTTCCAGCGTGACAGACTCCATCTTGGGGCTTTACTGACCTCCTCTCCAGGTGTGCCCAGGGCCTTCCTGCTACAACCTTGGGCCTGCCGCTGCTCTCCCAGCCTGGTGATGTGGGCCTCCAGTTCCCTCAGGGTGCAAGTGTGGTTGGCATTACCACAGTGGCTGGAGTAGGTCCTGGGTGTCTTGACCATCTGATCATGGCACCTGCAGAGGAGAGCATCAGCACTGTCCCCACAGTGATGCTATTCTGGTGCTCCAGCCTTAGAGAACAGGCCTCATCGTCAGGCCTGTCTCCTAAAATCAAAGCCAGGGTGCAGTACCCATCTGCCCAGCACCTTCTTGTGGCCCCCAGTCACACAGAGAAACTGCCAAAGACCTCACCCCTGACCTCTGTGACCCTCTTCCAATCCCTCTGCTCAGTCTATCCAAGTTACTGTGGCCTTCTCACTCTCCCTCTAACATGCCCCAGGGCCTTTGCACTTGCTGTTCTTGTTTCTGGAATGCTCTTTCCAGATCATCTGCATTGCTTACTCCTGCATTTCCTTCAGGTCTCTTTTCAATAGCACCTTCACAGAGGTGCTTCCAGCACCTTGTCCCCCTCCGCCCTGGCTCTTTTTCACACCTGTCACACTCACTAGAGTAGAGGACCCAGGACAGCAGAGATATTGTCTTGTTTGTTCTTTTTGCAGAGCCTTAAATTTGCCATGCACTGGGTCACTGTATAATAAATGCTGCATTGAAGTAAATATAGCTGCAGTGGTTGGGAATGGCTGAGAGTGCCAGTGAGTCTGGGACAGTGGCCAGGGAATGGCGGGGGGCTGTGACTGAGAGGTCTTGCCTTTAATCCTGACCTATGCTGTGGTTGGCTTGTCATTGCCCTGTGACAGACAGCCTCAGAGGGGCTGGCAGGGGGTCAGCCTGGGAGGGCTCAGCTTCAAGCTGCCACTGTGGAGGGGCCTGCAGAGTGCAGCCTTCCTGGGGCTTTGTCCTTCACTTACTGGCTGCCACAGCCTGAGGGCCTCTGCTCCTCCTGCCATTCCTCCTCCTCTTCATCCTCCTCTTCAGAGGCGGCCTGGCCCTCCACAGAGCGGAAGAGCTGCTCGTCCACTGTTGGAGCGGGGACAGGGGACTCAGCGTGGGGACCAGCCAGCCTGCCCCAGGGGAAATGTGGATGGTAGTAGGGAGGAGCTCTGGGGGTCCTGAGTCCCAGGCTCCTGTGAGGTGAGGTCCCATGTGGGTGTAACCTCTCCATGTGACTGGCTCAGGACTCCCTGGGATTCCACACAGGGGTTTGGGGGAGACAGCCTTGTTTTCTCCTAGGACACAGCCAGGCATGCCTGTGGCCTCATTAGGGAGCAGTTTCCATTTTGTGACAGAGGACCTGGGCCAAGGAATGTGCCACCCTTGAGGAGCTGGGCTCTGCAGGGTGGGGGCACCAGGTCAGACAGCTTTTCAATTCTCCTATTTCGGAGGATGCAGAGGTAGGGGGTGTCCCACATGTGACTGTCTGTGGTTCCCAACATTGCTGGGTCTTTGTGGCTCCGGCCTTGCTGGGCACTAGAAACCCCAAGTCTGCTGTGGTCACCCTGTATTCTCTGTCATCGTCAGTCCCTGTCCCCAGGATTAGCCCTGATTCTCCTCAGTGATGCTGGCCCTTTGTACCTCAGCTAGGAGCTGTGAGTCCAGTGGCCAATCACAGGTAGGCCAACCTGGCCATGGCCACAGAGTCAGGAAGAGCTGGGGACCCTTGGGAGCCAGTGAGACTTGGGCCAAGAAAAGACTCAGGCTTGCAGGGAGGAGGTTGTCCTCTTCCTGGGTGGAGAACCTTTGGGCTGCTGGGAGCGGGGCTGCCTCTGCCTGGGGACACTGGGTGGACTGAGACCAGATCAGTGCAGGGCAGCATGCCAAGCCCCACAGGTTGCCTGAAACCTACTTGGACTTGTCAGTTATGTGACCAAAAGTTCCTTTTTAACCTGAGTGGCGTTGGTCACTGATCTGAAGTTTGTACACAAACAGTGCTGTTGTGATTGAAGTTTAAAACAAAACGGGTTATGAGCTCTCCTCAGTGCAGGGCATCTTGGTGGCCTGGTGTCTGTGTTTTAAGGCTCTCAGTGGATCCTGGCCACTTGGTGGGTTTGGGACCTCAGACTCAGGGAGCCCTGGTCCCAGACACCATTGCTCAGCCTGGCCTTTCCAGCCATGGTTCCTAGGGCTCTTCTGCCTACTTAAGTGTCCCAGACAGAAGGACAACCAGGTAACTGTTTTGTGACCTTTTGGTGATGCATTTCCAATAGTGACAGTGCCCTTCTCAATGTGTATCCCCTGGTGTGTGTGCATGTGGTGCTTGCACCAGGGACAGGAGAGGGGTTCTGAGGACAGGTGTAGGGGATGGAGACTCAGCCCTGCCTATGGTGGAGCAGGTGAGCCCTTTGAGATACTCCATCTGCACCAGGTTCTTAAGGTCCAGGTGCTTATGATGATGGCCTGGGAAGGGGCTCTCTTGGGGTTGGGAAGCCAGCCCAATGGCTGGGGAGCAGGGTTCTGTGTGGGGCCAGATGGTGGCATTAGTGCTGGTGGTGCCTGGGAGAGGGTTGGGGTGCAGCGGGGACCCACATGGGCCTGGAGCAGGATGAGCAGAGACAGACCTTCCTCTGGGGCTCGGCTCTCCAAGCTGCTGTCTGACTGCCAGGTGCCCTTTGGAGAGGCATCTGGGTCTCTGGTCCCATGGTCCTCAGGTTCGCCACTCTCATTTTCTAGCTCTGGGCTGGCTCGTGAGGATCTTGGGAGCTTAGGACCTTCTGACCTGTGGGCAGGGGAGACAAGAGTGGGCCACTTTGCAAGTGAGAGGAGAAAATCAACAGGATGAAGGTTATGTGACCAAAAGGGACATGGAGGACTGAGAAAACTAACAAAGGAAGCCTCCTGATTAACTGCAAAAGTAAGAAACAGGATGACACATTCTGTGTTTGGTCTAAGAATGAGAGCATTGTACTTCAGTCATGAAACTTTTTAAAAGAGAATGAATGAAAATATTGCCTGTTTTTATTAGACAAATAGTACCATAAGCTCATTTTAAAGAATCTTAGTCTTATTTTTCATTCTTTTCAGTCCCCATTTTAAGTGGGTTCACTTTGGTGGATTTCCCAGGACCACATTTGATTGGACAAAGACCCTGGGCCTCAACTCTGGAGCTCAGGAGCTCCACAGGCCGCAACCACCTGTCAGAGGATCAGCAGTGGGTGACAATCAGGTGGGAAAGGCCAGAGGAACTGGCACAGGCAACTTGGGTGGGCAGCAGGTGGTGCAGGGCAGGGAGCAGGTGGGACACAGGGAGGACGTGGGTAGAGCAGGAAGGGAGTAGGTGGCACAGGACAGGGTGTAGGTAACTCAGGTGGGATGTGGGTGGCACAAGGCAGGATGCAGTTGGTGCTGGTGGGGCACAGGGAGGATGTGGTGCAGGTAGGGCACAGATGGCACAGGGCAGGGTGTGGGTGGCGTAGATGGGGTGCAGGTGGGGTGTGGGTTGTGTAGGCTTTGGCTCCTGTGGACTCAGCACTCAGAGGCTGATGGCACCTGGACAGCCTCCTGGGACCCCCACATCTACAACTGACTCAGGGGCCAATGAGACATGTGGAGCTGTCTCACACTAGGAGAGGTTGAGGACCAGGTCCAGAACTGTGACACCCTTTGTGATGGGGGTGAAAGGACTCTCTAGATGCTGGGGCTACTGACAAAGCCTAAAGCGGCCCCCCAGGAACAGGGTTCTTAGTAACGTCATATGAGTTGCTAGGTCAGGCTTTACCTAAAGTCAAGGGTGAGCCTGAGCTTTTGTGATCTATGAGCCCTAACTCTTATTCAGGTTCACCCAGGGCTTAGCATCAGCCAAAGGTGCTGCCCACCTCTGGCCCACATGGAAGTGGTAGTTGTAGCAGGTGGTCTTCTATTGAGCCAAAGCACTTTCAAAAGGGTGCTTACAATAAATGTTTATCAGTAATAGTATTTTAGCAAGACTAACAGTGCTCCAACAATGCTTAACTTCTGTCCCAGGGAAAAGTGGGTTCCTCTACCTTGTACTGCACTTCAGCCCAACAGAAGACCTGTGATTGGTGCAAACACAACCTTTATTTGCATAATGGCTATACTGTGATTAGAGTAAACATAAGTGGACTGTTGTGATTGGTGCAGGACCTCCTCCCAACCCCTGCTATATAGGTAGGCTGCTCAACTCCCTTTGTGAGCACCTGGGAGGTGTGCTCCTTTCTGGAGCACTCTGCTGTCACCGTATCAGGTCTCAATAAAGGCTTTCTCTTGAGGGACCTTTCCACCTTTCCTGATCTGTAACAGGAAGAGAAGAAGCAGTGGTGGCAAGGAGGAAGCAAGCTGACCAGTGTGGTCAGGGGCAAGAAGTACCTAGAGTACACCTGTGGGTAGTGGAGCTGCAACACTTAAGCCCTGACCCCTGTGCTGCCACCTAGCTGTCAAAGGCCTAGGGCTGACTGCTGTTGCCCCTGCTATCTACACTGTGCAAATACTTCAATAGCTCAGAGCAATTGGTAGAGCTTCTTGCCTACCCATGACTTCTCTGTGTTGTAACATAAGTTCCCCCTCTGCCCTGGAAGAAGCCAGACCTGATTTTATGTGTGAGTGCTGCTGTGACTTACTCAGAAGCCTGGACAAGATGCCAAGGTCAAGCTGGAGCTGTTCAGAAACTAAAATATGCAAAAGCACAGGTTGGTGGCTCCAAAGCTCTCCCAGGGAAGGAAGCTGAGCCAGTGCTGGTGGCACTAAGGTATGCGTGTGTGGCTTTGTACTCAGAGGTCTCAAGCAAGCGGCATCATTGTTCTACCGTTTGAAGACCAGTCTTTACTGTCTGGTTATGTTTGATTTGTTATTTGCGTGTTCTTGGACCACGTTAGCTCTGTTTTCTCTGTCAAATGCTACAGATAGGTCAGTTTTTCTTGATCTGAAGTTGGGTTGTCTTTGGCTTTGATACATTGATACAGCTCTAAATGTATGTCTAGTTAGTCTGAAATTGGAAAGGATATATGTGAATATATCAACTTGATACCTGAATCTATGAGGATGTATTTAATTTGAAGGTTTGAAATATGTGATATTTAAATGTTATCTCTAGAAAAGTTGGGGAAAAGGCCTTGAGAAAACTGAAGTGTCATAACACAGGGCTGTGATCCCAGCAATGTGGGAGGTCATAGGTAGGAGCATCGTGGTCTGAGGCTGGCCCTAGGCAAAAACATGAGACCCTACATGAAAAATAACTAAAGCAAAAAGGGCTAGGGGCACGGCTCAAGTGCTCGATTTCCTGCCTAGCAAGTATGAGGCCCTGACTTAAAACCCCAGAACCACCAAAAAACAACAAAAAGAATAAAGTTGGATTGTTTCTCTTTGTTCTAGTCACAAAAGGCCCTTTATACAACAGGTATGTCTATAAATGCTGGAGAATGTTGGGTACTTGTCAACTCGAACATTTTAGAACAGCTAGTAGTCTAGTATGTATTCTTGTAGCATCTTTCACAGTAGAGCACAGTTAATGAGAGCCATGACTTACATTTTAAATCTCATTTTGGTGTGTGTTACTAACCTGTGTGGTTTTGTGATTTTTAGAACTTATCTTTGAAAAAATAAAAGATTCTATAGATAATTAAACAAGGTTATAACTTAGTGTTATCCACTAGTCTAAGTAGTAGATTATGTCCTGAAATAAATAAGTGGTTGTTATAAAAAAAAAGAAAATAAAAAGAAAAAGGAAGGAAGGAAAGAAAGAAGGGAGGAAGGAAGGAAGGAAAGAAGGAAGGAAGGAAGGAAGGAAGGAAGGGGCTGCATTGGAAGTAAATTTCTTGGTTCAGCCATGTGAGAAGGACTTCAGCGGGTGGAGTTACAGAGCTTGAGCTTGAACCAGACAATATCTGCATCTTCCCACTATGAGATGCTTCTTTGTTTCCCCCTAAACTATTTAAGGGCTTCGAGAAGCAAAATGAGATGAGGAACAGCCAAGAGTTTCCTACCATAGGCTGGCTGGAGTGGACTGGATCCCACACTTCACCTCCACACACAACTCTGAGGTTTCAGAAACCCTGTCCAGGTACAGGGTCCTACATGAACAGCAAGCATGGTTATGGCTAAGCCTTTCAGAGTGCTAACCAGCTGTGAGGCAATGTTGTAGTACTTTAAACCTAATGAGATAGCTACCGTCATTGTCCCCATGTTTCAGAGGAGGAATCCAAAGCAGAGAGCTGAAGTAACCTTCCCAAGCTGCATACCTCAGAGATGGAAGGGTCCTCACACCTCAGTGGGCCTGCCAGACAGCAGAGAAGCTCTGGAAGGACTCAGGCCAGTGGCCATCTGCATTAGGTGAACACAGGTCACGTGATGAGGTTGGGATAAGGAAGCCTCTGAGCACAGGCCACTGGAAAGCAGGACAGGGAGAACCTGCTATGGAATTTTCCAAGGAGTCAAATATGTTGCAGAGAAGCCACATTTCCCAGGGCTGGGCTGCGCTGCTCACCTAGTACTCGGTGTCCAGCTGCTTCCACCACTGCCCCACTCTCCACTGGACCATTCCTCAGGGTCCTTGAGACAAGCAGCTCTGAGAAGGCATTGCAATGAGCATGCCTCCCTGCCTGCAAACCTATCCGCTGGGCCTCCAAAGCTCTCCTGTGAGATGTTGGAGGCTCTGGGAGGCGTCTGGGAGCTGCAGAGGTACTGTGGTCCAGAAGTCATTGCTGGAGTGAAAGCAGGTGGTGGCTGCCCACTGTTTCTCACACCCTCTTCCCTGACAGACCTCCTGTGTGGTTGGTTGGATGTCCCCTCCAGCTGGCCTCATTTGCACCCTCCCAGAGCCCCAGGCTCGCCTCTGATGGCTTCCTCCTGCTGCAGTCAATGATCACATATGGCTGCCCGCCCAGCAGCTTACATAGCCTGACAAGGGCCAGATGTTGTTGTTCTTCTCTTTTCTCATCTTGGCAGCACCATCTGACAGGCCCCTCCCTTGGCTCTGTGATATACAGAGCATGGCCGCAGGAGCCACCAAATCCGGCTTCCACCCTGCAGTACTGTGGCTTTGCTGCATGACCTCCACAGCTCCCTCCCCCTCTCTGAGCCATGGTAAGCAGTAACAGGGCTCTGCTCTGGGCTGGGACCTGGGGTCCTGAAGATGAACCGAAATAACACAGAGCTTCTAAACATACACAGCTAATATTTGAGGTGATTTTAGGTGGCGCTCAGATGAACAGGTACGTTGTGTGTTTTAAATAGTGACGCATAGACTATAATGTCTCCTAAGGATAGTAAGCACATTGATCTCAGCTTTAACTTTATGACAGTGATGTAACTTCCTTTTAAGATTATTTAAGTTGTGCTGGGGGTGTGATTCAGTGGCAGAGCGCTTGCCTCATATGTGCAAGATCTGGCTCCATACCCAGCACACAAGAAGAAAAAAGTTAAGTAAAAGCAGTACTCTGTAGATGATGGCAAAGAATGGCACAGATCTTGGGGACACCCAGACTGGCAAATGCTTAGACACCAGCACAGAGGAAGCTCTAGCTCTTTCCTGCCCCTTGGCCTTCCTTGCCTTGATCATTTTTTGGGGTATTGGGGTTTGAATCAGGGCCTTGTGCTTGCTAGGAAGGTGCTCTGCCACTTAAGCCATGTCACCAGACCTTACCCTCTTTTTTTTTTTTTTTTGGCAGTACTGGGGATTGAACTCGGGCACTCTACCACTGGAGCCACTCCACCAGCCCCTCCTTACTCTGCCATAGTTTGGATCTGTAATGTTGTCAAAGGTCC